TTTTTTTTTTTTTTTTTTTTTTTTTTTTTGAGACAGAGTCTCACTTTGTTGCCCAGGCTAAGTGAGTGCCGTGGCGTCAGCCTGCTCACAGCAACCTCAACTCCTGGCTCAAGCAATCCTTCTGCCTCAGCCTCCCGAGTAGCTGGGACTACAGGGCATGTTGCCACCATGCCCGGCTAATTTTTTATATATATATTAGTTGGCCAATTAATTTCTTTCTATTTATAGTAGAGACGGGGTCTCGCTCTTGCTCAGGCTGGTTTCGAATCCTGACCTCGAGCAAATCGCCCGCCTCGGCTCCCAGAGAGCTAGGATTACAGGCGTGAGCCACTGCGCCCGGCCGAGGATATGCCTACTTTTAATGATTCACCTGCTATACAAGGCAGATAGGTTTTGTTTCCTACCATAATGCTCTTTTCATTGCTCATAAAATATTTCTGATGTTTTTTCTTACATTTCATTTTACCAGCAAAGCCCAGATGAGCCTTAGAAGCAGAAAAGTGTTTGTTGGGCGTTGTACAGAGGACATGACTGCTGATGGCTGCGGCAGTTCTTTTGTCAGTATGGAGAAGTGGTAGATGTCTTCATTCCAAACCATTCAGGGCTTTTGCCTTTGTTACATTTGCTGATGATCAGGTATTTTCTCTTAATACTTTGTCCTAGCTAATTAGGTAATTTCTTTTAAACACCTGATTGTCATCTTAGCTAAGCTTTCTGACCTTGTAGGTTTGCACATGTGGGCCTAGATATTTGTGATGTATCTGAAATGTCTAAAAGATATTTACTTTTAGGTATTTTTCAGTAGTGGTGTCTGGAATGTTACATATCTTTTGAAAATAAGCTGAGATATCACTGTTGCCATTACTAAAGCTAAAAGGCTTTATTGGATTTAAATGAAATGGAGTGTTCAGGCTTTTTTTTCTGCTCTTAGATAAATCATGCTTGAAATCTAGGTTTTATTGTTACTTTTATGTATGAGTCAATGCTTTAACCTCCTTTGTTTACATCGGTTATTTTTACAGGTTGCCCAATCTCTTTGTGGAGAGACTTGATCATTAAAGGAATCAGCGTCCATAATCAATGCCGAACCTAAGCACAATAGCAATAGACAGTTAGAAAGAAGTGGAAGATTTGGTGGTAATCCAGGTGGCTTGGGATCAGGGTATTGGTAATAGTAGGGGGGGTGGAGCTGGCTTGGGAAACAATCAAGCAGTAATATGGTGGTGGGATGAACTTTGGTGCTTTCAGCATTAATCCGCATGATGGCTGCAGCCCAGGCAGCGCTGCAGAGCAGTTGGTATGATGGGCATGTTAGCCAGTCAGCAGAACCAGTCGGGCCCATCAGGTATAACCAAGCCAAGGCAACATGCAGAGAGAGCCAAATCAGGCCTTTGGCTCTGGAAATAACTCTTATAGTGTTCTATTCTGGTGCAGCAATTGGTTGGGGATCAGCATCAAATGCAGGTCAGGCAGTGGTTTTACGGAGCTTTGGCTCAAGCATGGATCAAATCTTCGGCTGGGGATGTAGACTGGGTTGTGGCTGGTTGGTACAGAATGGTGGGAATTCAAATTTTTCTAAACTCATGGTAAGTATATTGTAAAATACAATGTACTAAAATTTTCAGAATGGTTTGTTCAGTGTGGAGTATATTCAGCGTATTTTTGACATTTTTCTTTAGAAAAGAGGAAGAGCTAAAGGAATTTTATAAGTTTTGTTATATGAAGGGTTGAAATATTGAGTGGTTGAAAGTGAACTGCTGTTTGCCTGATTGGTAAACAACACTACAATTGATATCAAACGGTTTCTCCTGTAATAATTTATCCTGACTTGTCAAGTGAATTCTTTGCATGTTCAAAATGGAAACCATTGATTAGAACTACATTATTTTCTCCTTGTTTTAATTTGAACCCCACCATATGGATTTTTCCTTAAGAAAATCTCCTTTGGGAGATCATGGTGTCCACAGTGTTTGGTTCTTTTGTTTTGTTTTTTAACACTTGTCTCCCCTCATATCAAAAGTACAATATGAAGCCTTCATTTAATCTCTGCAGTTCATTCATTTCAAATGTTTATGGAAGAAGCACTTCATTGAAAGTAGTGCTGTAAATATTCTGCCATAGGATACTTCTGTCTACATGCTTTCTCATTCAAGAACTCGTCATCACGCATCACAGGCTGCGTCTTTGACGGTGGGTGTCCCTTTTTATCCGCTACTCTTTATTTCATGGGTCGTATCACCGCTATGAACGCGAAGGCTGTGATATGGAACCAGAAGGCTGTTTGAACTTTTGAAACCTTGTGCTGGGATTGATGGTGTGAGCGAGGGCATGAAAGGCTAGTATACGAGAAAAGAGACGCGGCGTGCAGAGACTTGGTGGGTGCATAGGGATATTTTTTTTAACTTGGCGAGAGTGTCTCTCGATCCCGTGGCTTGGTGAGAGCGTGTGCAGAGAGCAATGATAGCAAATAATGTACGAATGTTTTTTGCATTCAAAGGACATCCACATCTTTGGAGACTTTAAGTGAGTTTTGTTCTTAGATAACCCATATTAGCTGAATGTGTTAAGTGAAACGACAACTTGTATTCCCCTGCCCCTTGTTCACTGCTGTGAATGCTGTATGGTGTGGTTCTCTTCTGTTACTGAATGTAAGTGGTAATGTGAATGAACGCTGGTGGGTTGAGAACATGGACTGAGCTGTTTGGTGTGCTTTGCAGGAGTACTTGGAAGCAGAGTTCACCAGTGAGCTCAGGGTTCTCAAAGGGTGAATTCTAATGTCTGTTAGCTACCCATAAGAATGCTGTTTGCTGCAGTTCGTGTCCTGTGCTTGGATGCTTTTTTATAAAGTTGTCAATGTTGGAATTCTTAAATAAAACTGATTTAAATAATATGTGTCTTTGTTTTGCAGCCCTGAATGCAAGAATTCATAGCAGTTAATTCCCCTTTTTTGACCCTTTTGAGATGAACTTTCATAAAGTTTCTTGGCAGTAGTTTATTTTGCTTCAATAAACTTATTTGAAAATTGTCTCAAGTCAAATGATTCATCACCTGTCATGCATTGACAACCTGATACCCAGACTTAATTGCTATTTGTTCTTGCATTGTCCAAAGTGAAAGTTTTTTTTTTTCTTTTTAAATCTAGTTTTTAATAAGTCTGGGTGACCGCACCTAAAATGGTAAGCAGTACCTCCACTTTTCTTAGTGCCTCTTGTCATTTGGGTGATGTTCTATTTACATGCCTGATAATCTCATTGGGATCATGCCCTTCTAAATATTCTATTTGGAGGAGTGGGCAAAACAATATTGATTATTTCAAATGCTTTGTATACAAAGCAATCAATTCAAAAGAAAGGAGAATGTCAGCACCTCTAGTTTGGGATTTGAAGTGGAATAATTGCATGGGTAAAGTAAACAAACAGAATAATCTTGTGCCTAAATCATTTAGAAGCCTGATAGCTTTAAGAATTAGTGGGTGGTGTCTGTCTTCTGTGATATTGTTTAGTAAAATGGCTTTGTCCTCCAACAGAGAGGAATGTAATATTGATAAATCACTTATTGAACTCAGACTCTCAATGCATTGTTAAGTATGTGAAGCAACTAAATATTCTTTATTGTACTTTTATGTAACTACTTCTTGTAGGTTGAACTTATTTCTAATTGGGAATGTGAGTTTTTGTGTCGGTAGTTTTAGCCTATGCCCTTACTAATTAGTTATGATAAATAGGTTTGTCTTTTGCAATTATGTGTTATAAACATTTTTGAAGTCTCTTTAGACTTGTGATGCGCAATGTTTCGTTAATGAGTTTCCTCTGTAAAGGTCTTGAGTTGTCTAAATTTTTTTCTGCATCTAAATCTGCATGATTTCCCAAACCTGTACCATCTGATTTTGCCTTTTAGCACTTGCACTATTACGCAGCAGATAAATGGTACAACTTTAAATGGTATTCGGGGACCTCCAGTAAACTGCAGCCTTCAAGGAGCCATGGGGTAAGTTAACTTGTCAATTGATGGTTTTTTAATCCCTTATTTACTTGTGTAATTAGTTACTGGCGTGAGAGCTTCAATGTCGAGTAAGCCTTTTTACATGTTTATGGTATTACCTAGCTATGGGTTTTATTATCTACCCTAAAAAAAATTGAGAGTTTAGAAGTATTAACTCATTTGGCAAAATTTGTTTTTAAAGGTCTTTTGGTCATTAATGCATATTTAACAATTTTGAACAGTTGAATAAATTTTTGTTGCCTTACCACCAGTTTAGGTGTTGGATCTACTGGAAAACATTTTTTTTTATATGTGACAAAGATGTTGGAAATTTACTTTAAATTGTCTCAGAGTTGACTTTTATGCACAGGGAAATTAGGCCAAACTCACAGTAACCTTTTAATGTAAAGGTGAGTATTGCTAGCTGGAAAAATTTATTACCATGTTAGCTATTAAGACTTTTTAGGGAGAGTAGCCAATAAATGATTTTGAAGGTATAAATCAAATTTTGTTTTAGTAGGAAAAAATAGGAAGTTAACTACTGAATATTCGAGAAATACTGTTATTAGATAACTTTTGTTGTTGGTAAGGCGGAGTAGCTCTTTTTATCTTTTTAAAATATTTTGGCAGATCTAATTTAAGGCAGTCGTCCTACTGTGTATTAGATTCTATGTTTTCGCTTTGTGTGTCTGGTGTCCTGTTGTTTGGCTTAACTATGCCCAGGATTTCATATGCTTTGTTAGAGAAAAAAGAAAATTACAGAATTTGTCTGTAGTATCCAACTATTTCATGTTTCTTATCTTGTGTAAGCCTCCTTGATTTATTTCCAGTTGCTAAGAACATCCTTACGCTAAATTAAATTCATTGCATTGAGATTGCTAGGTCAAAGAATATGCATGCTTTTAAGGTGTTGAATGTTAGTTCTAGTCTATGGCCCTACTACCCTGGAATGCACCAGTCTTCATCTGAGAACCGTATTGCCAATTGTCTAACTTAGACAGTTTTTGTTTTGAACAATGTGAAATAGTACTACTTTCTGTTCCTTTTCTGGAATCATGATAGTGAAAACATTATATTCCACTTTGTGGCCACTGGTTTTTAACTTATAAATCAGTATTGGGCTGGCAGTTCAATGTTTCCTTTACTCAAAAAAGTTGTTCAAGCTTATTCTTGAAACAATACTGCATATAATTATAAGCGTCAGTCTTGGAGATCAAAAATAAAAACAGTTAAAAACAGTAGAAAAGCATCAAAGCTTGGACAGGCATTTATGAATGCAAGAGTTATTCAATGTAATTTAGCACGTGGTTTATTGGACTTTGCAAATGATTGCAATTATAATGGTTTGTGTTCCTGAGTGAATCAGGATGAATTAAACTGGCAAGTAGAAAGTCACAGCAATTACCTGGAGTTTGGTTTTGTTTTTGGGCGTTAGAAGAAACAAGCCATGTTGATTGCTGCTAGGTCCGTTGTGCTAGATTTTTTATAAGTATTTCTAAATAAGGAATCAATTTATGATGAGTCATACATCAAATTTATTCATTATGTTCTGGACCGGGATATAGGTTACTGACTTTTGTGTAGACCCCATAACTGGCCTGCCGCCACAAGTTATGGACCCCAGCCACATTCCTCACAAAACAACCTCTGTGTCTCATGTATCTGAAATACTAATGCCCTCCACTGTCCCTCTCGAGCTATCTTGCCCCCTTTCAAGCCAGACAGAGATGTTTCGTTACCTGCACCTGCATAGGCTGCTTTTCATATGCAGCAGTACATTTGATGGTCACCTTGTATGTCAACAACATTAGAACCTTCTAGCAAGGTAACCTTTGGTTAATCCCATCAGATGTGGGTTCCATGTCATTTGTCCCATAAGGATTAGTGTTTTTTGGCGACAAATAGGCGTGTGATTGTGCTATTGATTACACTTGTCTCAATTAATCAGTGCTTTCGTTGTCAAAACCAGATGCATGAGTATACTTCATGTATAAAACAGCCTCGCCCCCCAGGTGCTTGTTGTAATGAGTTGATTAGTCTATTCAGGCCCCATTCGGATGTCCAGGGAAGAGTGCGTCGTTCTATGCTTGGTATACTGCGAAGCAGCGTTGGATCCATTTTTCTATAAAAGTGCACCTGCTGTACTTTCTCCTCAATAACAGGACTTTGCCAAGGAAATCACCAAGCTTTGCTTTGCCCTCATATATACGACTTCTGTAGTACCGTTGACAAGTCCCACAGACGAGGAAAGAAAGTGATACAGAGCCTTTGTAAACTCAGTGATATTTTATAAATTTTACCATTTTGGAGTTGTGTATACTTATGTAGCCAAATTGAATTACATGAATTGGTGGTGTCCTCGCCTGCTGACAAGTGAGGCTGTGTTTAAAATCTAGTTCGAAGGCCGATAGAAACTGTTGGTATTTCTTAGTCCTCAGTAACGGTGAGTGACTTAGAAATTATTTTGTTTCGCTAATAAGTTGATCTATAAGTTTGGGAAATTAATAGCAGATAGGAAGAATTAGCTGATGCAGTAGAATATTGTAGTGTAGACAATGGAAGACAATCTTTTTGTTGCTTGTTTCTACTTTGTAAAAATGGGTATTTTACTATGTATTCTGGAAGCAGGAACTGAAGGTGGTATCAGGATTTGCAAATATTTTACCTTTGAACATGTAATGTTTAAATTAAGAATTTGAGTGTGTGCCAGGACCTTCAGGTTAGAAATATTACTTTGTTGTTGATTTTCCAAACACTAATTTTATTGCTTTATTGAATTACATAAGCTCTTAATCTGTAGCATATTGTTTCCTTTGTGGCAGTCATACTTATATTCTAAACTAAAATGTTAGTCAGCCAGTAAGTTTAAAAAAACTTTTAGCCAAATAATTGGGTAATGAATATATTATTACCTTTCTGATTTTTTTTAATCCTCTATAATCTATCTGAGCAAATCTTGGTTAAAAAATTTTAGTACTATTAAGGGCAATTGCATTATGTTTAAAAACTGATGTCATTGAAACAACTTGCTTGAGAATATGAAGTTATTACTTTGGGTTTTACTAGCATTTTACAGAGAAGCCAAGTTAACTTCAACAGAGAACTTCTGCTTTATAAATGTATAAATTGTTCAGATAATTTTAAAATCATTTAATTTTATGTTTGTCTAGTGTTATAGCGTCAAAAATATCAAATGCTGATGCAGTCAGCCCTACACTCTCCATATGGAGGCGATAATGAGACGTTTATTTGGAAATATAACTTAGCTTAGAGCCAAGTGTGAAGTTACATTTCTGCCTACCACAGCTAGTCTACTTACTGTCTCTACCCGTTCTACTCCATCTAATCTCTTGTATAAAAAATGTATCCATTACAGGCTCGCAGATGGGCGATTTTTCTCCTTTGGGCTCGTCCACGAAATCATCGCCTCACACACTACTTCACCTGCAATCATTGAAAATGCAAAATGTTTAACTGCATGTGTAAGATGGTTGCCCATTGCTCGATACTCTCTTTGAAAATGTTGATTCTTGAGCATCGTGGGAAATAGAGGGTGTCTGAGTAACCATTTTCATGATTTCATATGACGGGCTCTGCATTACCTGTTTGCTTGCAAATGAACCTTTTAATGTGTACACTTGAATCATGTATCAAGATCTCAAGTGCTTAAGTAAGAGTTTTGACTTGTTTAATTAACCTTTGGAATATTTGTACGCGGTGTTGTAGTAGTCATTTACTAGATAAGATCTGTTTTCATATTCTTGCAGATTGACATAAGTCAGGCTTAGTCATAATATTCACTTATGCAGGTGGGAGAATGCCTTAATCTTTTGTCTAGCCTTAGCAAAATGTTGTTAAAGTTTGATTTTCGACATGAGGTCAGTCCAAATGTACCCACCACCATTTTGAAAATGTGCTCCCTCGCCCGTCTTCATCGTAGAAGGTCTCTTGACAGCTGTATGAATCACGCTTTGTATGTGGTCACTTCAGACCTGTGACGTATTCACTGCACTGGGTAGATCGTCAGGAGGCACAGTCATCACATAAGAGAGGGAGGGAGGAGTCACTTGTTTCAGTGCTAACATGAACAGTTGGGAATCATAAGCAAACTGATGAACAGGTGGTGTATTTTTGAATTTTTGACTTACCATCGGTTTCACAAAATTCCTCTGAAAATTCGCACAGATAATCACAAGCTAAAATGTGCATTTGAAAGATGAGATGTTTTACTTCACAATTAAAATAAAACAAGAACTTTAAAGTAAATGTCAGAGAATCAACTGTCAACATTAAATTAAGAATTGACATTTATTATGATGAACAATTTAATTGGAAGTGTACTAAAACTTGAAAGCCGATATTATTTTCCGAAAATGTAAATATAATAATATATATATATAAATAATATATATATATATATTATAATATAGTAGGCATATCCTTAGTTTTTGCATCAGTACTTCTTTCATGCCTTCTGTACCACAGTTTTAAAAAAAGCAACAAAAAGCTCTATGGTATAGCCTATTGCTACTAGGCTATAAACCTGCACAGCATGTTCCCATACTGAATACCGCAGGCAACTGCAACACGATGGTAAGTATTTGTGCACCAAAACAAATCTAAACATAGAAAAGGCATGGTAGAAATATGGTATCACAATCTTATTAATCCTATGGGACTACTGTGGTATATGTAGCTCATTTGTGACTCCAGTGTCACTATGTATTGCATGAATATATTTGGATTTTAAAAAGTCAATGACTAAGTAATGTCCTGGCAAAGATAATGATGTTCTAAATAAGCAAGTCTTAGTTGCTTGCTTGGAACAAGTTAGGTCTTTATAACAAGATTCATGTATTCTGATCATATTTTATGGTTTCACATATAACTATGTAAGAAACTGTTAACAGAAAAAACAAGAGAAAAGG